TACTATGAGTAAATGTTTGAGTTGTTACATTGTAGAGCAATAACTCATGTTTTATAAAAATAAAATACATCATATTGCATTTATTGCTTCTTTTTATCAGCGATAAAAATATGTTTACAAATGGATGTTACTTCCATTCTCAATTGTGAACATTTTAAAACTATTTAACTGTGTCTAAATATGTATGCTAACGATGTAGAAGAAGTTTGAAAAAAGAAAATATAAGATACGTTAGAATATCAAATGACAAAGAGAAATAAATCTGTTTTTTATACTACATACTCTGACACGTGCTGATACGGTGTGATAGAAAATGTCAAACAGTATAATTTTCGACAAGAAAATAACACTTTTTTAATTTTAGTCGCAATAATCGAAAAAGCGAAAAGAGTGAAAAATAAATTTTAATCAAAAAAGATACTGAGACTATTGTAATGCTTTATAGTAAGTACTAACTAAGTATTCTTTTTGCCTTAGATATAACTAATGATATCTGTAAAAGTATTTATTCATGCGTACATTGAATATGAAAGAAAGAAAAAGAAAAAAAAGTATATGTTGCACACTGTTTACATCAGATATAGTTATTCAAAAAGAGAAAAAAAGTCATATGAATCATTTTCTTGTACACTACTTCAAGGAAAATGTCTGTATCAATGACAAGAAGTATTTTTATGTTTGGCTCGTTAATCAAAGGATAAGCATTTGACCTATTAATTGTGAATGCTAGACAGAATTGAATGTCCTTTTAGAAAATCTGATCCTACTCAAAATGATTGACTACTGATCTATCAATAATTAAGTTAAAATGAACCTTTTAAGTCTAATTACTTTGCATAAAAATACATCATGAATAAAATAAGATGCAACTTATATTTTAGTCATGTTTTAACTAAATTCGATATTCATTTAAGAACAGACAATTTTCAATGTTTACATTACAAATATTAGAGATTTATTAAATATTTTATAATCATAATCAAATGTTCATGATTTATTCTGGAGGCTTCATAAAATTTGATTATAATAAATGTCATAATATAGATTACGAAAAATATGACCAATATTAAAATAACTAGTTGTTTCAAACATATAATCTTATCTATTTTGTTTAAAGTCAGAATAAAAACATTTTTCATAAACTCTTTCTAACTTATCAATTTTAAGTATTTTGTCTATGATCAATAATCAATAAAATCAGATAGAGCTTGTCATTCATTGAGAAATATCGAAATAAATAAATAATTTTATTTGATAATATATACAACTAATAACTTTTAAGTGATACAAAATGAACTAAAATTAGATGTTATCCTATTTATTTATGATATACATAGAAGTTTTATTCATATAAAAAATAGCTACTTGCTTTATCTTTGCTATCTGGTGATATTGGCATAGCTACAAAAAAACTAAAACTAAAACTATTATTAATATGGTTTTATGTACATTTATTATCCTTCTCTTGAAGGAGAAAAGAAAAAAGAAAAAGAACGTTTACATGTGACGTTTTATCCGTGGTATGAAAGAGTAATTGGAGTGAATCTAGCGATAAATGAAGCGTGACTGTGAATAAACGACATAATAAATATATGAAGAGATAATTTACACTCAAAAAATTCAATTTTTGGAATGTAATATGTGAATCAGTATAGAATACTGAGTATTATATTGGTTAAAAACAAACAATAAAATCAAGTATTAATAATATTTAATCTATTTTTCTCATTAAAAGTCTATTTCTTCAATAAATAACATGAACTGGTTAAAGAAAACATTTGGTCACAACACTAATGGTGATGACAACGATGATGAAATGATCAATTCAATAAATACTTATAAAATATATCAAATATCTTATGATCGTTCCATTCAAAATTTTCGTCTCATATGGCTCGACAGTAGTATCGATGAAATCAACAATGATGCATGTATAAATATCATCAAAAAACTACGAGAAATAGTAAATACTATACAGATATTTAAAGATGTTAATGCATGTATCGACTTTATTACCGATATTGATGATGATAACATATTCATCATATCATCTGGAACACTTGGTCAAATAATAATTCCGATGATTCATGATGATATAACTCAAATAAATTCATTTTATATTTTTTTGTCAAAATAAAGATCGACATTTACAATGGGCACAGAAATGGTCTAAAGTAAAAGGTGTTTTTATAGATATTGAACCAATGTGTGAAGCACTTAAATATGCTTTTGAAGATTGTGATCGAAATTCTGTCTCGATGAGTTTTCTTCAAACGACTGATGAAATATCAAATATAAATCTTAATCAACTTGATTCATCATTTATGTATATACAAATACTCAAAGATATTTTGCTTACTATTGATTTTCAACAAGAAGACATCGAAGAATTTCTGAGATACTGTCGAAAGGTGGTGTTTGTGGCTAATAGCAAGGAACTTCGATGTATTGATAATGTCAGGCAACTTCAATATGTTGATAAGATTCAACAAACATATCACTGGTATCGACCGATTTGGTGGTATACAAATCCATGTTTTCTTTATTCTATGCTTAATAAAGCTTTACGTATGATGGAAGTCGATCTAATTGTTAAAATGGGTTTTTTCCTACGAGAACTTCATCAAGATATCGCTAGACTACACAAGCAACAATATATTGAACATCAGAATACTGTTTCATTTGTTGTATATCGTGGTCAGCGTTTATCAAAGACAGAATTTAATCAATTGAACATGACACAAGGTGGATTATTATCATTCAATAATTTTCTATCTACTAGTACAACGGATCAGATAGCTTTGAAATTCGTTCGAAAACAAAAATTAAATTTAGATGAGATAGGTGTTCTATTTGTCATACAAGTTGATCCTTCAAAATCTTCAATACCTTTCGCTAATGTTCGCGATGTTAGCTTTTATCCTAAAGAAGATGAGATTCTCTTCTGTATGAATTCTATCTTTCGTATTGGAGAAATAACGAAAATAGACGATACAATCAATAATCGTCTCTGGAAGGTAGATTTGACATTAACAAATGAAAATGATCCTCAACTACATGCTTTGACTGAATATATACGAAGAGAAACATTTATGATAGAAAAGGGATGGTATCGATTGAGTAACTTTCTGATTATTCTTGGTGAAACTGACAAAGCTGAAGAAATATGCAATAGACTGCTAGATAAAACAACTGATCAAACTGAGAAAGCAAGTATCTATCATACACTTGGAATGATAAAGTATGTTCAACAAAAATACCAAGAAGCAATTGGATTTTATAAACAATCAATTAAAATTAAGGAGAAAATTTATTCTTCGAATCATTTGTATTTAGCTTCTTCTTATAGCAATATTGGTGAAGCGTATAATAGAATTGGCAAGTATACAGATGCACTTTCCTTTCATAGGAAAGCACTTTTAATTAAAAAAGAAACATTTCCTTCGAATCATCCTGCATTGGCACAATCTTACGACAATATTGGTTCGGCATTAGGTAATTTAAGCATCTATTCACAAGCACTTGCATATTATGAAAAGGCTCTTGAAATTAAATGTCAAAGTCTTCCTTCAAATCATCCTGATTTAGCACAATCTTATAATAATATCGGTTGGACATATGAAAAAATGCGTGAATATCCAAAAGCACTTTTATCTCATGAAACGGCACTCTCCATCAAAAAAAGAGTTCTTCCTTCAAAACATCTCAGTCTAGCTGATTCTTACAGGAACATCGGCGCAATACACTTTAGTATGAAACAATATTCAACTGCACTTTCATTCTATAACAATGCTCTTGATATTTTACGAGATTCGTTACCTAAAAATCATCCTAATCTACTGAATTTGGAAAGAAACATTGAATGTATAAAGAAAAAATTGTAAATGATATGGTTTTAGATATTTAAAAATAAAGATTGTTAATCACGGAGAACGTTTTTTCACAGCAAAAAAAGCATACACACACGTACGGAGCAGAGATGGAGATGACTCGATGTGTTACATTAGAATGATTCGACCAAAAAAAGGATCGCGTTGTTCAATTAATTTAATACTTTAAACATATATCCGCAATTGAATTTTACAAATGTTTGAAAAGATAAAATTGATCACTATTTCTATATATTAGACAACTAATTCATATGTTTTTATGTACATGTACCAAAAAATAACAGATACGTGAAGTTTAAATTATTGATCGAACATAGTTTGTTGAATATGCATTTCAATTCTAAGATGTAATTAAGTTATCAAAGA